TTCCGCAAAAGCACGTCTAGATTGGCAGGATGCTTTTCCGCAAAAGCACTTTTTGCGGAAAAGCGTCCGTGGCCAATCTAGACGCGGTTTTCCGCAAAAAAGCCCCGATCGCCATTTTCGCGATGGGGGCTTTTTTGCGGAAAACAGTACTGTGCTGTTTACATTGGCCCTTTTGCGCAAAAGTCTTTCGGAAAAAGACTTTTGCTCAAACAGGAGCAGCATAGTATTTCCGGAAAAGCACTGACAATCTTACATGAGATCGTCAGTGCTTTTCCAGAAATTCAAGCGGCCAGTGTAGACAGCTGGCAAGTTTTTCCGCAAAAGCAGATGATTTTGTGGAAAAACTTGCCAGTCTAGACACAGCCTAAGTGTCTGAAAAAGGCAGACACAAAACCAGGTCAGCAAAACGTGTCTGTTCTGAAGTTAGCTGGTGAGAAAAAGCTCTGGAAAGTAGTCTTGGACTGTCAAGACTAACTATTCTAATACAAGAATAATTTTTTATTAGGAATTATTCAACAATCCCAATGTGAACAATGAAGGTGAAGTGCACAATTTTAATTGCCATATGTCTGCAATTCATTTGGCTTTGCTTGCTGTGAACATAGTAAACATGAAACCTAGGTCACACCTGTCGACTTTGACAGACTCGTTTCCTGGCTGCACTCTCACATTATGTGATGAGGGGCCGCGCTGAGTTCATAGAACCTTAGGACTGGAAGAGGGGCGCGGAGGGGTCTGTGGCTTGAGTTCGTGGGCAAAGACCCACTTCGTCAGATTGGGGCTTATGCTCCAACACTTCGGTTAGTCTCTAAGATGCCACAGGACTCCTCGCCGCTTTTGCAGATTCAGACTAACACAGCTGCCTCTCGGACAGTAGCACTGGAAGGGACCTCGAGAGGTCATGGAGTCCAGCCCCCTGCCCTCACGGCAGGACCCAGCACCATTATCCCTTTACCTGGCAGACTAAATCTCTTTTTGCTCTTGCGGCAAAGACCAGCCTAGTGGGATTTATTTGGCACCTTTTCTCAGCCCGCAAATGGAAGTCGGCACTGGGGGCATGAGTGGAGGTGGTGGTGGGGATCAAAGTTTTTATTTTCTAGTTTTTTCTGCACTAACAGCAGCAAGATTCCTCATGCCCCAAACTGGCCCAGCATGGAGGAACGTGCTGGTTTAGCCCTCATGAGAAAGACTGCTCAGGGGAAAGGTTTGCTCAATTTTCCACACATTCTTATCCTTGACCCCAAACCAAAGTCGTTACAGATGCCTCCCAGCCTCGGTCCACAAGCTTGTGCCGGCAGGGCTCGCTGTTAGTGCTGCGTCAATGCCATTTGGATGTTAAGAGTGTAAGAATGGACGTAGTGGTCAGGCCAATGGTCCATCTAGCCCAGTATCAGTCTTCCAACCATGTTTCATTTATCAAATTGTTCTAAACCCTCCCTTAAAAGCACCTCCACCTGGAACAGTTTCTCAGATTTGTCACCCTAAAAGAATGGCTCAAGCTGCAAGACGTCACAGTTGGGGCTCAGAAGCCTGGGATAGGGGGAGAGAGAGTACAGCCCTGGGAGAGGGGCAATTTTGCAAACAGGCAGCTTGAAGGCATTTAGAGATTTATGGATCAAAACCAACATTTTAATTCTAACTCAGCAGCCAATGTGTAGACCCTGGTGCACTGGCTTTGAGTGCATGGCGGGCTACTTCACACAAGCTGCTTCTGCCTAGAATTTTCACCAGCCCCTCACAATCTTTTCCTCCTAGGGTTAAAAAATAGGACATTTCCCATCCAATATCTCCCTCCTCACAGACCTCATAGGACAACAGTTTCCATCCCCCTTAAGAACAAAGACAATAACTCCCAGTTCTCCGTTCTCCTTGGAGTATCTCACATGCACCAAATGAGGGATGGCACCCGGCACCCACCCACCCCAGTTCTGATGTTACATGCTTTGGCTAAAGGGCATGGGCTAGCACAAAGACCAGAGGAAAGCCCACTGGCATCTCCCCTATCGACACACCTTCCTACATGACACCATCATCCCACTCCCTCAGCACGCGCCTGTGCCAGAGACAATCAGACCCAATCCCCTTTGCCACTTTAACTCAGCTGCTCAGTTAATAACCTCTCTGTCCCCTGCAATCTGAGAGCTGTTCTCTCTAACAGCGAGATCCGTGCATGTTTATTTGAGACATTAAAGGGCATCTATCCAACTTCTAGGTGCCTCTCCCATATATTAAAAGTTGACTGTCTCCACACACCATTCCAAATCTAAAGGGCAGTACTGTATCATATTTATATGGCCCACGTAACGTAGCATCTGAGCCCCATGTGAGTTTGAATGGATTTATCCTCGACATCCCTGTGAGGTGCTCTGATCCCTCTTTTACAGACAAGTCTATGGAAGGCTAAGTGCCATGCTCACGGTCATGCATGACCATTCAGGGACATCAACCCAGGTCTTTCACATTATAACTTAGTGCACGAACCACTGGACCGTCCTTCCTCTCTCAACAGCTAAAGCAGAGGTCAGCCATTCCCATTTGAACAGTCCAGGAGAGGCACCTATTTGGAACCACAATACTGAAACAGTAACATCAACCCCAGGGTAGTATGGCATGGGGAATGTCGACATCACACAGGCACACGGTAGAAAGAAGTCTCCTTCAGTGAGTTTAAAAAACAAAAATAAACGAATTTTATTTCTTAGTTTTGAAAAACAAAAAACTTACTAGGAATCACAAACGTTTCAAAAAACCCCAAACCACACATTCTGCTTTGCCATCTTTACAGAACATTGTAGACTTCGTTGTCAGAGCAACATAGCATGGTCATATTTAGCCAGTGTATGTGGACCACAGCTTGGATTGTCACATCAAATACAATACGGAGTGCATCTTATTGTAGTTTGTTTTGAGAACACAGACACACCACTCATCAACATGTGGACAAAAATGGCAACGTACACCTAAAATATAGGACACACGAGGCAAAAACTGCATCTAGGAAAAGTTGACCGTACTTTCAATTCATGAAGAATGTTATTGAATTAAATGGTCACACACTGACATGAAAGTGATGGAAGATTTAGGCAAAGACCAACCAGTACAGAAATCACGAGTGCAAGAAAAACATATGTCTAGAGAACAAAGTTCATATGATCAACAGCTGGAATTTACTTCAATACTTCCTGGAACTATAGCACTTCACACAAAGCAGCAGCAAGAGAGTGAAGTAGGACAACAAAGATCAACTGTTCTAAACTGGTGTATTCTTCTTGCTTCTCAAATTAATCCTTTGTGTAATTTTTAGGTCTTAAAAGTAGTTGATTCATAAAAATTAATAGATCCAATCTCTTTGAAGTCTAGATCTGTTCAAAGTCAACATTTTAAACAGTGACAGACACAGAACCCTCCCATAAAAATGTCCATTACACAGAAGACATTACGAAGTCCAGGAGTTAGACAGGATATAGTGAGTTTCTTTGTAAAAGGATGCACATATTAGAAGTCATGCAAGTAGACTTTGTGATGACAACTGGCCGGCAGAATACATAAACAGTCACAAAAACCTTGTTTTTAGACACACAAAAGTGCTCTGATATACAAGTTTCCACACTTAAACCATTGCAATTTTCTTGTGTGTGAATATGTATATGAGTTGTTCCGTTCCCAATCTGAGAAAAGAATTCAGCACATGTAAAATGAACTGCTGCTGCCAGGGAACTGAGTGGTGAGAAAGTGAAACCCATTTTAGTGATTAAATAAAGCAAAATATGGGCTGAAGGAAAGACCGGGAAGGTGAAATGAAAACTTCTATTGGATAAAGGGGAAACTGACATTGTTTACTCAATCTTCCCTGTGCCTCAGCTCTTCCATCCGTAAAATGGGAATAATGTTACTTTCCTACCTCACCAGGGGTGTTAGAGGGATAACATTCATTACTGAGTGTAAGATGCTCAGAAACAATGAAGAAGAAAACCATAAATACCAAGGCAGAGGACAGATGGACACTGTGAAACCTCATATGGACTCATACTTCCTACCTTGTGGTTAGATGATTTAAAAAAAGCACCATTTTGGGTGAGCTTGCTAATTGTGTAGCCTCAGTCCAATGCAAATGGGAGAACAGGTTAGTAAATACTGTCTGTCTATTCCTTTTGCATTGCCTCTTACAAATCATATGCGGTCTGTTTTAATTCCAAAGAGTATTCACAAATGGAGTCCCTTGAGGGAGTGAGAAAGAGCCTTCATTCGTTAAATGATTTACACAGGTTGCAATAGTTACTATTATCTGAGCCAGGGGACATATGAATGATCCAAACTGGGAAAAACTACAGCTCTTCTCAGCTCTTCAGTGAACCTTTCGCACAGCACTGCAGCACCAGCAATTAGCTTCAGTGCTTTCTAGTATTGTTTTTGTAATAGTTTGGAAAACTCCTTACATTTACAATCTGATCATTCAGTAGATGGTCCAGATGCTCAGCTAATGCCATAGCTCCACTGTCCTCAACCAAGCTGTGCTGAGTCTCTCATCTACCTGGTGTTCTCCAACCACGGTTCATTCGGAGAGACAGTGTTATCTCTGCAGCTAAGCAGTCAGTCTAGAGTAAGCCAATAGTCAACTGAGAAGAAGGACACTCTCCACATTTGCCTCACACCAGAGCCCGGGGGGCCCCAACCTAGTACACTTTGTGTACTGCAGCCCTATGGTGAGATAGAGGGGAGGGAGTGGAGCACTAGTGTGGGCTCCCCAATGCTGGGGGGAGGGGGCACGACCCTTGGGAGCCAGATTCAGGAAGCCAGGGGCTGCATCGAGCCCCCAGGCCTTAGGTTCCCCACCCATACCCTAGACACTGACAAGTCATTCAATTTGAAAGCTTACAGATTTGCTATGATCCCTAGCTTCCAAAAATGACAAATTACATATTCCATGTAGGGCCAAGTTTGATACAATTCATGCAAAACAGTGAATGGCACTATATTATTTTTATTCCATGTCTTTTTGTACACCATGGACCTTTTATGCTGGAATGCAAGTCATACATTGCACACAAGCAACTTCACAATAGCATTACTGACCTGATGATTTGCCTTATAAGACGGAATTCCTTCCACTTCACAACAATATTTGCTAGGGGGTAAATAAACAACCAACAAAAACATAACATTACAGAAAATTCCAAACTGATTCTGGTATTTTAAAATGCACAAGCCCCTCCTGATAACACAGGTTTGCAACTGGAAGTGGGGAATAGAGAAAAAGAGAATCTAGACTTTGAATGGCTTGATAAGAATATAAGAATGCCATACTGGGTCAGACCAAAGGTCCATCTAGCTCAGTATCCTGTCTGACGACAGTGGCCAATGCCAGATGCCTCAGAGGAAGTGAACAGAACAGGTAATCATCGCGTGATCCTTCTCCTATCATCCATTTCCAGCCTCTGATAAACAGAGATTAGGGACACTATTCCTACCCATCCTGGTGAATAGCCATTGGTGGACCTAACCTCCATGAATTTATCTAGTTCTTTTTTGAATCCTGTTTAAGTCCTGGTCTTCACAACATCCTCTGGCAAGGAGTTCCACAGGTTGACTGTGCGCTGCATGAAGAAAAACTTGGTTTTGTTTTAAACCTGATACCTATTAATTTCACTTGGTGACCACCCCAGTTCTTATATTATAATAAAGAGTTACATTAATGTCGTGCTAATACACACAAAACACATAAAAGGAAAGATTATTCTTGTTTCTCCCCTTTATAGGCATACCATTCCTGTCTCCAAAATGAGGACCTGCCTGCAGGATCCCATTTTGCAACTTTAAGTTGATGGCAGGAAAGAATTAATAGTTCACACAATATTGAGGTCTACCATGCCTGTTTGAAGTTATTTCCATTAATGCATTCTCTTGCTGTCAATCAAGTCAAATGTTTTGAGAATTCAATAAACACTTTATACATAATTTAAAAAAACAGTATCATGATGTGGGTAAAGGCCAATATCAGAGAGATTTATGTACAGAATCAAATATGAATCTAAACAGCCTAGTTTGTTCCCAAAGAATTTTTAAACTATTTTTATAGAAAAAAATCTGTGTAGGCTAAAAAAGGTTGCTTATAAAATAGCATAAAACCATAGGAGCATGTGCCACTATACTGAGGCATATTTCCTCCTTCTAAAACACTTAACACAGAACTTCACAAAACCACAGATGTATGTTTCAAAAGGTGCTTCCTATTTCAAAAGTTGCAGATGTGCCATCAAAACATACAGGGTGCCATGAAAAATACCATGTTTTTAATCAGAATACTACGCAAGAGTGCAACCTTAATAAGAACAGAGTGGAGACGGATTTAACCATCCCAGCAACATACTGTCTTTAAAAAAAGGAAGCAAACTGTAAAAGTTTAGGAGCAAAAGTTAAAAACTAACCCTGGACCTCTCATCCCCTAACATCACAATCAGACTTTCTGGTACAGAGGAACATTACAGTATTGTCCGAGAGGGCTGGAGGCTTAACATTCTATAGCTGAAACCATGTTTCACTCAACATACTATAAATCCGTTTTATTTTAATCAATTGTCAAAGCGAACAATTGTACTTATCAGTGTAAGACCACCACCCAACAGCAGTATAAGAGCTTTTGGGGGCAAACTCCATCTGCCTCCAAGTGCTCTATGGTTTCCCCTCTTTGTTTTTTCTAATTGCAGTTCTGTCAACTACAACTTATTTAATTCAGCACATGTATTTGTGCCTCATGTCAAATCATAAAGGTACCTTTAAAATAAAAAGCATTTGGCATTTCTGAGAAAACTAACTGGAACACTTTCACAAATGGGCCAATTTGTGGCGGAATTTTAGTGCATACTGTATTACACTTACATTTAAAATATTACAAGCTTTCGTACCAGTACAAAAAAAATACCATATTTGACCCTTATATAATAAACTATTTTTGTAACCAATATTGTAGATGGTATCAATAAGATACTGTTTTAGCATTTGGTACATCACGCTTTACAATATTAAGAAAATGTAACATATCTTCAAATAAATAACCTCTCCTGTTTTGCCATTATTTTCAATCTGGTGGATTTGCTATATTTCAGGTGTGGGGTGTTAGTGCTTAAAAATTCAAGTGCTGTTTAGAATATTGGCACCTAAGAACTTGAACATGAGAGACAATTACAAGGTCTCCTGCTACCATATATAATGCAGCAAAGACGATATCAATACATGTATTAATTTAATATCCCCAAATAGATAGTTTATAGTGTCACAAGACTTAACAGTGCATGGTACCCCCTATTTCCAGTGCACAATCAAATGGTTTAGATTCATTTAGTATTGTCGAAGGAGGCTCTGGGCGCCTCGTCTGTAGAATTTTCTGTTTGGGATTTTTAATTTCATCCTCCTCCTCTGTTTCACTTTCACAAATGTGAACAACTACGCTAGGAGTAGACTCCGTTCCCGCATGAAGCTCGTATTTCTCTCCTATAGAGCACAACACAAAGAAAAAGCAAGTTAAGAAGTTTGACAATTAAAGTCAAAGTAATCAACCTGTAAAAGCATACTACAAGAAATAAAAATAATTCAGTGACTTTATTTCAAAACATGTTTCCATTATTATTCACAGTAAATGATGTACTAAAATTAAAAAAAAACCAAAAACCCAAGGAGTCCAGTGGCACCTTAAAGACTAACAGATTTATTTGGGCACAAGCTTTTGTGGGCAAAGACCCATGAAAGCTCATGCCCAAATAAATCTGTTAGACTTTAAGGTGCCACAAGACTCCTTGGTTTTGCAGACACAGACTAACACGGTTACCCCTCTGACAAAAATCTAAAGAGGCTATTAATTCCTTTTTATCTTTAGTTTAGTCCATTTTCATTCATGATTTGACTGGTGCTGCTTATGTGTTCTGAAATTACACTGCCACCATATTTAGTAAATTGTGCTCTCTGCATACTAAATACTTAGCGACATTTTGGAGGGAAAAATGGAAACAAATTTACATGCAACATTAAAGGGTTTATAGCTATTTCTTAATGGGCATACAAAACTGAAGCAGTATCATTTACAGTATGCAGTTCTACCACACCTTTCATCAGAGGATCTAAAAAGGGCTTTGCAAACATTAAGGTTCGTTTTCTCCACTCCCCAAAGTAAGTCATGTTATTACATTATGCATATTACAAATGAACAAATGGAGATAGCGGAAGGGAAAAGGATTTTTGACTGAAGTTACACTTCAAGTCAATAGCAAAGCACATAACTGGAGTTTCTGTTGTCAGGGAAAAGAAACAGCAAAATCCCCAGAAAGGTCAATTAAAAGGCTTGACAGTTAAATTTCATGGTGGCCATGTCTAAATATGGCACCGACTGGCACCCTAGAAAACAGCTACAGTAGATAACTAACTTACTAAATTGCTCTTCTCATTCAACTAAGTATACAATGAGATTTCAGTGGCAAAATTAAGTCAATATGTATCTCTAGCTGAAGAGCATCCAATCCAGCACATTGCTCAGCACTGATGCTCCCTCAATCAATTAAGAAATTGGCAGAAAAAGCATTGAACCATTTTGTCCCTACAAGTAGCCAGGCAGGAGTAACCAGGAGATCTGTGTCCACACTCCACTTTTTTCCTAGAGAGGTGAAGAAAGCTACTGAGCAGGCATTTCTAAAACTGACCAGCAACAAAAGCAAGAGAACATTTTTACCTGGACCCAATTTGGAAACAGCACAGAGTAAGTCATAGTTTATTCCAGGAGTTGCATCTTCACTCTGCTTCCACCCAACTGGTGGAGATGCAGGAGGCGATATCAGGAACTGTTTGACAGGCTCTGGGGGAAGGAGGTAGGACTTATCTCCTACTTCACTGGACACCTGGACCTGCAGAAACACCACCACCCAAACAGAATCACAGAAGTTAGACTAGAGAGGATCTAGTAGGGATAGAAGGAAGAGGTATTGCTCTCTTCCAATATAGGACTGCTCTTCACAACACTATTCTAGTGTTTTATTCAGCCTCACTTTAAACATCACAAGCAACAAAATTTGTAACATTTCCTCGGAAAAAACTATTCCGTATGAAGATTCCTCTCATTCCTCATAGCATTAGTAAAAATTTTGTGACCAAATATTTCCTGCCCCTCACCCCCAATTTCTTCCAACTGTTTCTAGTTATTTATTTTGTTAGATGCTGGCAGTGACCTTGGTACCATATAGAACACATGTTGAGGCAGTAATCCAACCAAATCTGTACACGGACCCAGTATCTTTGGAGAGGCGATTCTGGATTGCACTTAAGAAAAGGAGTGCATTTAGCTTGTGGACCAGGGAAGAGCTTTGTCACTCAAGAGTGACCCTTATGGCCAATTACAGAGCTGCATAATCTGCATGTGGAAAAAGAGTCCCTAGTGTGTAGATTCACTGAAGTGGAGAAAGGATGCATGTGTGTGTGGTCAGAATCCTGTCAGGAAGAGAGCCCATAAATACATACAGAATGGAGAGGAGATAAGGGTACATTTAGAGCATCTATATATTGCATCATACCTGTGCAAAATAGAGCTTCAGCTTTTTCCCACTAATGTCTGTCTCGTGCAATTCTATCCGTGCTCTTGCTGCTGCCTCTGGGTTGCTGAAATTTATCCTGACTCTTCTAAAGCTTTTGAACAACTGGAATGTAACTTGGTTATCATATATCGTGAAAAGTGCTTCAAATCTTTCCTAAAGGCGAAATAAAAAGATAAGTCAGCCACAAATTGAAGATTTTTATTTAGTGAAAATATACTTTTCTTTGACTTTTTCCACTCAGATTGAGTTGCTTCAACTACATTACTTCTTTAGAACCTGAATGTTCTTTAGTTCACTCATCCCCTTGTTTTTAAAAGTTTAGAATAGACCTGCTCAGTAACTGTATTAGACATCTCTTCTATTAGAAGCTTGTAAGAGAAAGTAACCAATCTAAAACTCCTGTCTATTCTATTTCCATTTTTAAAGTACAGTAATGTGGACACATGTAAACAAAGCCCTACAGATCTCAATGTATAGAGTGCCATCTAGTGACAGCTCAACAAAGAAATTTCCACTCTGATGTGCCTTTAACCTATGGGTCCTGAAAACACCATGAGATAGAGAATAGAAAAAATACCATAATGCAACTATATAAATCAGGGGTGGGCAATAATTTTTGATGGGGGCCACTCCAAAACTTTGGTAAGTGGTCAAGGAGTGCACTTTTCTGTGGAGGGGCTGTGGGGTGTGGGATGGAGGCTGGGTGAAGAAGGGAAGCTCAGGGTAGAGGACTGGGGTGCAGGAGCAGGAGTTTGGGTGAAGGAGGGAGTTGTGATCAGTGTTCTCTCTAAAGTGAGTGCTTGGGCAGCCACCCAGGAGATTTTAAAATGCCATCCACCCGATTAGCAGAACGCCCACCGCTGACAACAGCCGGCAGCAGGTGTTTCTACTGGCGGTGCACATCTGCACATGCCTCAGTACGCATAACATTTATTCCACACATGAATGGAAAAAATTAGAGGGAACACTGGTTGTGACCTGGGGCAGGAGTTTGGGGTGCAGGGTCTGATGGGGGTATGGGTGCAGGAGAGGATTCCAGCCTGGGGGAGGGATATAGGAGGGAAGCAGGGTCTGGAGAGGGGGAGTTGTGACCTGGGGCAGGAGGGAGGTGGATACAAAGGGTTTGGGTTGTGACCTGGAGCAGGGGATTGGGGTTCAGGATCCAGGAGGCAATATGGGTACAGGAGAGGATTCTGACCTGGGGAAAAATTTAGGAGGGGGTTCAGGGTCTGGGAGGGAGTTGGAGATGGGAGGGGTGGGGTGCCAGAGGCAGGCTCTGGCCAGGAGGTGCTTACCTAAGCAACTCCCGGTCAGCAGCACACTCAAGCAGGGTTCCCCCCCCACTCTCGCAGCAGCCCCAGACTGCTGGCTGGCTATGAATGTGGCTCTCAGCACTGCTGGAAGGGAGAGGCTTTCCACCCTGTCCCTGCCCCCAGCAAAATCTCAAAGCTCCTATTGGCTGGAAACTGGTTTCCAGTCAGTAAGAGTTGAGAGATTTTTGCTGGGGGTGGGAGGAGTGCATTGAAGCCTCTCTTTCCCCGCACCACAGAGCGCCACAGGAGGAAGCTAGCCGCATGGATTGGTGCTGCTCTCTGATGCAAGGGTGGGCGCAAGCCGGATCAAAATGCTTGGTGGGTCAGATCTGGCTCGCGGGCTGTATCTTGCCCACTCCTGATATAAATCCACAGTCTACCCTCACCTTGAATCATGCATATAGTTCTAGTCATCTCGATGTCTTAGAATTGGAGAAGTTACACAGAAGATCAACAGAAATGAGAAGGAGTATGGGATTATTTTCATATAAAATTAAAAAGACTGGGACTTTTTAGCTTGGAAAAGAAATGATTAAGGGAGATATGATCAGAGGTCTATAAAATGACAAATGATGTGGAAAACGTGAACTTGCAAGTATTATTTACTTCTTTACAACACGTGAACCAGGAATCACCCAATGAAACGGTAGCAAGTTTATCACAACTTCACATAAAGCACCTGTGGAACTCATTGCCAGAGGATGTTGTGAAGGCCAAAACACAACAGGGTTCAAAAAGAATTGGAAAAGTTCATGGTCAGGGAGGCAACCCAATGCTCTAGGTGTCCCTGGCCTCTTAACTGCCAGAAGCTGGGAGTGGATGACAGGGGATGGATCTCTGTGACCACCTGTTTTGTTCATTCTCTCTGAAGCACCTGGACTAACCACTGTTAGAAGACAGGATACTGGGGTTAGATGGACCACTGGCCTGACCCAGTATGGCCATTCGTATCATTTTATGGCACTACATAAGTCAGTTCTGTCTGAATTCTTCTGCCTTCTATTATTAAATGCAGCCCTCAAGATTAATTTCTTCCATTTATAGCAAAGAAAAAACAACAATCCAGAAAAGGAGTTTGTTATTGACAATCCTTTCTGTAAATGTATGTTTCATGTATTTGTCATTAAAAAGATTAAATAAAATAGTTCACTATATAGCTGACTACACATACACTGTAGTCAGTAAGTTTCATGTTTTGAGTAGGGATGTAATAGTGTAGTTGATTAACCGATAAGCAAAAGCTTGTAGGTTAATGCTATAGACACACACATTCCCCCTCTCTCCCCCACAAGTACATTTTTTATCAGGATGGCCAGCAACCTGGCTCAGTGCTGGCTTGCGATGGGTCAGGGACCTACCTCTGCATTTAAAGTGTATTAGGAGGCAGGCTAGCAAGCAGCCCAGCTCAGTTCTGGGTCATGCTGGGTCCAGGAGCGCAGACCCCTCCACCCCGGACAGGGTCTGCTGTCACCCCGTGCTGCTGCCTCTTTATCAGACGCAGCAGCATGGGGTGACAGGCAGATGGTCCACGAGGGGAGCTGGTTTTTAAACTGGTTCCCCTCACAGTAAGGATATTAAAGACTAGTTGACTAGTCGATTCCCCCCCTTGCTGCCTATCAGATAAAGGCAGCAACGGGGGGGGGGGGGGGAGAAGAAGGGGTACTTCAACGGGCAGTGCTGCATTGCGTTTCAAAGCTGCAGCGCCGCACTGCCCTTTTGAAATGCCACCTCAGCTGATCCCTGTACCCTATGTGCATTTACATGCCAATGAAGGCTGTAATGCTGTAAACACCTTATAGAATGATTTCATGTGGCAGCCAATTATCCAAGTGTCATTAGATAGAGAGCTAGCATGTCTCCCATACATTAACCTCATGTGCTCAGGTAAAGCTAGTTGAGTATTTTCAAAGAAAGAGCAAAACTGTGGCGACAAATCACCTTCTTGGAGACATGAATGAAACAAAGCCAACATCTCATGGTGCATGTTTTCAATACTCTCCACATAAAGAAGGAATGATAGGATATTGCCAGCGCTAAGGAGGAAGAACTCAAGCAGTGTAGGTGGCTTGTTTAAGAAAGTATTCCTACTTCACTTTTGTTTTTTATTGTTAGTTTTACTAACTTGCTGAACCACTGACGTCTTTACAGAGATGGATCTGTATGTATGGTTTTTTGTTTTTCTTTAGTTTTTGAGATGAATGCAGGGAAGAAAACATTTACAAGATGCTCTACCAAATACAGGAATATTTTAAAATTACTCTTTTTAAAAAGATTCACAACAGTGTCTCTCTACATAAGCTTTCGACACATGGATGACAATGTATTTCTGTCCACCGATGACTCAAATATATTTGGGCCTAATTTGATTCATTTTTAGAAGTAGTTTAGTGCGAATATATAGGACTGGAAGTTAATTTTTCCAGTGACCTATGCAGACCTAGCAATAATCCACACACTAGCTAAACTAAAGAGACGCAGGTAACACTGCGTATAATATTAACGGCTAATGAAGAAGAAGTTACTCACCCCTGTGCGGTAACAATGGTTCTCAGAGATGTGTCCCACTCAGGTCTCAGTGCAGCCTCACGCCAGTGATCAGAGATTTTTGCCAAACAGTGCCTCCCACACCACACCTGCGCACTTGCCATCTTGCGCTGCTGTTGTCTGTTAGGTCCGTGTGCAGTGCGGGCTCCCTCTGTTCCTTTTCTACCTGAAATCCGATAAAGGACTCCAAGTAGAGGGAAAGAAAGGACAGTAGTGGAGCACCCACAGGGACACATATCTCAAAGAACCATTTGTTTTGGTCTTCACCAAGAATTATGATGATGAAGGAATGCCTAATATAGTGAACGCTAGCAGGAAGGGGATAGGTTTAAAAGATAAAATAAAAAAAGAACTAGTTAAAAATCACTTTAAAAAGTGAGATATCTGCAAGTCACCTGGGCCTGATGAAATGCATCCTAGAATACTCAAGGAGCTGATAGAGGCGGTATCTGAGCCTTAAACTATCATCTTTGAAAAATCATGGAAGTCGGGAGAGATTCCAGAAGACTGGAAAAGGGCAAATATAGTGCCCATCTATAAAAAGGGAAATAAGAACAATCCAGGAAACTACAGACCAGTCAGTTTAAGTTCTGTGCCAGGAAAGATAATGGAGCAAGTAATTAAGGAATTCATCTGCAAATACCTGGAAGATAATAAGGTAATAGGGAACAGCCAGCATGGATTTGTAAAGAACAAATCATGTCAAACTAATCTGATAGTTTTCTTTGATAGGATAACGAGTCTTGTGGATAGGGGAGAAGCGGTGGACATGGCATACCTAGACTTTAGTAAGACATTTGATATGGTCTCGCATGATATTCTTATCAATAAACTAGGAAAATACAACTTAAATGGGGCTACTATAAGGTGGGTGCATAACTGGCTGGATAACTGTTCTCAGTGAGTAGTTATAAATGGTTCACAATCCTGCTGGAAGGGCAGAACAAGTGGGGTTTGTTTTGGGACCGGTTCTGTACAGTATCTTCATCAACGAAAGTAAGCTTATTAAGTTTGCAGATGATACAAAGCTGAGAGGGGTTGCGACTGCTTTTGAGGATAGCATCATAATTCAAAATGATCTGAGGTAAATAGGATGAAGTTTAATAAGGACAAATGCAAAATACTCCACTTAGGAAGGAACAATCAGTCTCTCAGATACAGAATGGGAAAAGACTGTCTAGGAAGGAGTCCTGCAGAAAGGGATCTAGGGGTCAGAGTGGATCACAAGCTAAATATGAGTCAACAGTGTGATGCTGTTGCAAAAAAAGCAAACATGATTCTGGGCTGCATTAACAG